TGCAGAAAACAATATGAAGTTCAACGATTTAGGAAATTTCAATTACTCAGATATGGTAAACTGAGGAAATTAAAAACTTCATCGAGTACAAACAAATTCTGGCCACAAAAATGAGCGAAACACCAACGTCAAAGAACCTGGGAGTGATCATGTCGGAGGATCTCACCTTCAAGGACCATAACATTGTATCAATCGCATCTGCTAGAAAAATGACAGGATGGATAATGAGAACCTTCAAAACTAGGGAGGCCAAGCCCATGATGACACTCTTCAGGTCACTTGTTCTATCTAGGCTGGAATATTGCTGCACACTAACAGCACCTTTCAAGGCAGGTGAAATTGCCGACCTAGAAAATGTACAGAGAACTTTCACGGCGCGCATAACGGAGATAAAACACCTCAATTACTGGGAGCGCTTGAGGTTCCTAAACCTGTATTCCCTGGAACGCAGGAGAGAGAGATGCATGATTATATACACCTGGAAAATCCTAGAGGGACTAGTACCGAACTTGCACACGAAAATCACTCCCTACGAAAGCAAAAGACTTGGCAGACGATGCACCATCCCCCCAATGAAAAGCATGGGTGTCACTAGCACGTTAAGAGACCATACAATAAGTGTCAGGGGCCCGAGACTGTTCAACTGCCTCCCAGCACACATAAGGGGGATTACCAACAGACCCCTGGCAGTCTTCAAGCTGGCACTGGACAAGCACCTAAAGACAGTTCCTGATCAGCTGGGCTGTGGCTCGTATGTTGGTTTGCGTGCAGCCAGCAGCAACAGCCTGGTTGATCAGGCTCTGATCCACCAGGAGGCCTGGTCACAGACCGGGCCGCGGGGGCGTTGACCCCCGGAACTCTCTCCAGGTAAACTCCAGGTAATGGGATCTTTGTATGGCGTATCTGCCCTGTGGAACTTTTAGGACCGAATAAATTTCCACAACGTGCCTGCAGATACCTAAGGCATAGTATTTACATAGATTGTACTTCTTTTTGCTAGGATTTATTGTAGCTGCGTTCACTGCTGGTGCATTTATTTTTCCTATTTCCTCAATATCTTTTACCCCTGTATGGACACCAGTGCTTCCACCAGGTTTTGCTGGCAGTGTGTCGACACTATTCCCTGAGGCCTCATCCCATTTTGATCCATCTCCAGAAGTATCTCTATTTTGAACTTCTGTGGACTGAATAAGGTTGTCTTCAGTGTCCTCCAAGACAACACTAGTACCCTCATGAGCTCTATCTTCTAATACTTCACTAGGACCCTCAGGACTGTCCTCCAGGACAGCACTAGCACCCTCAGGAACACTGTCCAAGACAGCCCCGTCCCCACACCCATCTTTTTTACCCAGCTGTCATACCATGCTGACATGTCTTTCAAGAAGGATGTTTTATTGGTGCTGTCTTTTAATTTAAATGTCATTTCCTCATACAGGTGTATCTCGTTTGGGCAGACCCAAAAACATCTCTCTGAGTTTGTCAAGTGTGGTCACTAGTTTAAAATCCCTGCATATATTATGGGACCACTGACCACACAGATGGCAAGCAATCCAGGCCTGTCTTCGTCCTTTGTCCTTTCTGCAGACTACACAGACCTTCATGGTGGTCATCTTACAGTACTGGACAACTCTCTTAGCTAGCTAGTCTATAATTCCCCAATGCCTTTAATTTTTTTTTTAACAGTTCTTCCGATCTGGCTTTATTTCCAACGAAACCGTTTGAGTCCACCTGAATCCGGCTATTTCTACAAAAAGCATTTGAATCTGCCTGAATACAGCGAAATCCGTTTGAATCCTCCCGAAGCTAAGAACTGGAAGAATCCAGTCACTATATATCTTTTTTTTTAATAATTACCTTAACAGTAGCTCTGTCTATCTGTATTGTAACTATTTGTTGTATTTAAAGTTTTGTACAGTTCTTCCAGTTTGGCTTTATTTCCAACGGAACCGTTTTAATCCTCCCGAATCCGGCTATATTTCCAACAGACCATTTGAATCCGCCCGTGTCCAGCGAATCCGGAAGAATCCGGCTAGTGGATCACTGTATATCTTTTTCCTAATAAGCAACTTAACAGTAGATCTGTCTACCTGTATTGTAACTATTTGTTGTAGTTTGTGTTTGAGTGTTTGATAGGGCGCATAGAGCCCCGTCAGTTAGTGAAACCAGTCAAAGAATACATTGGTATCAACGAATCCATTTGAATCCGGTTGTTGGATGAATCCAGGCAGATGCGGATTAGGCTCACTGGGTGATATTTGACTAGCTCATGAAAAGAACTACTGGAAAAAATTAAACAGTGATATATGTTCAGTTTGATACAGAAGTATAACTTGCATGTTTGGACGCCGATGGCTTCAACGTATGGAGATTACTGGAGGAATAATGATTTTCGTTGTGTATATAGTGACCACTGCTAACTATAGGTTTACCACACACGCTGTTTACATCACTCCATCACAATAAGTACTAACAACTATACACTGTTTATCATATTTCTACAAAACTGTACACTTTTCGTATTTCCTCGAGATTTTGCACCTCTTTGTATTTCAACAGTAATGTCTTACTCCCTGGTATCACTAATTATAGGCCAGGTACTGCTGGCAACTGTGTTGGAACTTATTCAGTCCTAGAAGTCCCAACGGGGAAAAACACACCGTTCGAGGGCCCTTACACCCACCCAGAACACACACACACACACACACACTCACCCGGGTTGGCAAAGGTGGTTGAAAGGTACATTTATCCTTCAAGGAAGAAGTAGGTAGTTTATACTGTTAGTACACTAATATTAGGATAATTGAGGCAACTGTAGATAATAATATAGACCTAAGACCTTAACATAGGTAGTAATAGGCTAACCTGGCTAACATAACTAGGTTATGTTAGCCAGGGAGAACTGGCAGCCCAAGTTTGAATACTGGGGCACGGGGTTTTGAGACCGCCGTGCCTTCATCTAAGACTAGACATCAATGTAGCAACAAGTGCCGTGATCAGCGGGTGGCGCCCCCACGTGTCTTCACATACTAGACCTGGGGAAATCTGGTGGAGGCACCTCGACATACCGTAGATGTCCTCCTCCGTCAGGCCCATACAGTAAGACAAGACCTCCCATTTTTCTTAGGATCCTGGCCAGTGTCTGGGGAAAATTGCCAGTGAGTCGTGCTGTGGCCTTTGTGTCAGCCGGCAGTTCAAGACCAGTACGTACCAGAGTCTCTTGTCACCCTAGAAGCTAGTGTCCATTTCTGCATAGTTAGACTAGGGGATACTCACCCCCTTGTATACAGGAATTTCTGAGGTACAGGCAGGTCACTAATATCGATTGAATATTGCAGGAATTAAGGCTCCCGGTTGCACGTGGTTTCTGTGGGGAAGTCCATGGGGCTAAAGTTTAGGGAGGTTGTAGATCGGGATACATGCTGCAACACCAAGTTAGTCCTTTATACGTGCATGCAGGCGAGATTTCTTGCAACATCAGTCATTTATGAAAATCTGTCCTATAAGCCACTTGGGAGGCTGAGGTACCGACCTCAGACCTCAGTGTCAAGAGAGCTTGCCAGGGTAGACAACTCACATGAAGGCAGTCCAGACAAATTTTCACAAAATGTTTACAAATGAACCTGTCTCTTTGGGCCTAAACACTTCAGTTTTACATTTCACCTTATCCTTTATTATCCATATACTAGGCTACCACTTGGTACACACTATAACACTATATATAACATACTATTATCAGGAAGACTGTCTTTCCTCTGACAAAAAAAGTTGTAATATTATTTTCACGGACACTTTAGGCCTCAAGTTCCTCTCTGAGAGTCAGGTGATGTTTTGTTATGTTACACTAATTCTCCTTTTTTGACTCGGTAGATATTATTTTCTGCTAGATTAGTTCCAAGCGCTGGAGGGATGTAACTTATAAGATCACTTACACAGTTTAAAGCTCAAGTGCGCAAGAGAGACCGTGAAAAATACGAAATAACACGGCGGCACGGCATGTGTCCTTACTTATATATGAATAAAATTGGGAAATATATGAATAAAATTGGGAAATTGGAACGTATTTAGTTCACTACTAAGGAGGACCTTATTAGTAAGGCGGCCTTGCTACACTGTGGTCTACATGACCCATACGGGTTTAGAGCCTATGATAAATAATATAGAGCCTGTGCTACGTTGTTACTCATCGTGGGGGAGAGCGCTAAACTCTCAAGCGGGGGTGGGGAGGTCGATAGGCAATCTGATTTAATCCCTCTAAAGAAAAATTCAATCTCAGTGGATCAAGAGCCCTACACTAACATCAAGGGCCCCCCCCCTTGCCCTTTGATGTGACCAGAGTGAAAAGCAAGTTGAAGAAGCTTTTATTGGGACTACGTTTCACTCCTTGTAGAGTTTTATCACGTTATAGCTTGTCGAAGCTCTACGCAGCACCACGAGTTGGTAGAGCTCTACACTGAGCCAAACATGACTTAAAAGCAGCTCCATATAGAGCGAAGCATGACTTCATAAAGCTCTCCACAGATCAAAACATGAAGCTCTACACTGAGCGAAACATGATAAAGCTCTACACAGCAAAACATGATAAAGCTCTACATTGAGCGAAACGCTGTCACAATAGAACACTGAGCAACTTGTCTTCCCTTCACTAGCGCCGTTAATGCGACATTGGATCGAAATCTATACCAGCGGCCCCCTCTCAAGGAAGGTTCCTTGATGCTGGTGAGGGGCTCTTGATCTAGGGAATTGGATCTGTGCTCCAGTTCCCTGAATTGAGACTGAATACCTTCCATTCTCCCCACATATGCTATATAATCCTATGGGTTAGCGCTCCCCCATGAGCGCTGGTGTATTATACATACACCAGCGGCCTCAGGTCCACAATGCTGGTAAGAAACTGATAATAGTATTGCATTAAACATGAAAAAACTCCCAGTTCGCACGAGCCCTGCGGGTTTAGCGCTTCCCCGGATTACAGAACCTTTGTTTCGAAGAGAAAAACTTACCAGCAGAGAAATTACCAGGTTCCACAACAGTTACTCTTACTCCCCAGGGCCGCATCTCTTCCCTGTGGGGAGAGATACTTAGTTAAATATCTTTATTATGCACCCCATACCCGTCCTGTGGGCGGCAGTCACCATATACCCACCCTGTGCGCGGTAACCAAAAGATTACAGAGGCACATAATGGGTCCAGGGACTGTACCTCAACATTACAGAGGCACATAATGGGTCCAGGGACTGTACCTCAACATTACAGAGGTACATAATGGGTCCAGGGACTGTCCCTCAACTTTACAGAGGCAAAATGGGTCCAGGGACTGTCCAAAACATTACAGAGGTAATAATGGTCCGGGGAAACTGTCCCTTCAAATTAAGGTCATAAGGGGCCCCGGGACCGGTCAAAAAGTTTTGATAGCTGAAAAAGTTAGGGTAAAAATATTTATATGTTTTTTGGCCACAATCGTAATAAAATTGTTTTTTTGGAAAAAAAGATTTAAATTACAAGCGTGGGGGAGGAACATTACAAGCGTAGGGGGGAACTTTAAAGCGTAGGGGGAACATTCAAGTGTAGGGGAGGAACATTAAAGTGTAGGGGGGGAAAACATTACAAGCGTAGGGGAGGAAATTAAAAAAGGAGGGGGGGAAATTACAAGCGTGGGGGGAGGAACAAAAAGTGTAGGGGAGGAACATTAAAAGCGGGGGGGGGGGGAACATTACAAGTGTAGGGGGGAACATAAAAGTGGGGGGAGGAACTTACAAGCGTAGGGAGGGAACATTACAAGCGTAGGGGGGAACTTTCAAGTGTGGGGGAGGACATTACAAGTGTAGGGGGGAACTTTTACAAGCTTTAGGGGGGGAAAACTTAAAAGTGTGGGGGGAGGAAATTAAGGTAGGGGAGGAAATTAAAGCGTAGGGGGGAAACATTCAAGGTGGGGAGGAACTTACAAGCGTTGGGGGGAGGAACATTACAAGTGTGGGGGGAGGAACATTAAAAGTGTAGGGAGGAAATTACAAGGTAGGGGAGGAAATTAAAGTGGGGGGGAGGAACATTAAAGGTAGGGGGGAAACATTAAAGGTGGGGGGGAAAAATTTAAAAGGTAGGGGGGGGAAACATTAAAGTGTAGGGGAGGGAAACTTTTCAAGTGTAGGGGAGGAACATTAAAAGCGTGGGGGGGAAAAACTTTACAAGCTGGGGGGGAAACTTAAAGGTAGGGGAGGAAATTCAAGTGAGGGGAGGAAACATTACAAGCGTAGGGGAGGAACATTAAAAGTGTAGGGGGGGGGAAAACTTAAAAGGTAGGGGAGGAACATTAAAGCTAGGGGGGGGAACATTACAATTTTTTAGGGGGGGGGAACATTAAAAGGGTAGGGGGGAACTTCAAGGTGGGGGGGGGAAATTACAAGGTAGGGGAGGAACTTACAAGGTGGGGGGAAGGAACTTTAAAAGTGTAGGGGAGGAAAATTAAAAGTGTAGGGGAGGAACATTACAGGTGGGGGAGGAAATTACAAGCGTAGGGGAGGAACTTAAAGCGGGGGGGAAGAAATTACAAGATAGGGGAGGAACATTAAAGGGGGGGGGAGGAACATTACAAGCGTGGGGGGGGAAACATTACAAGGTGGGGGGGAACTTTACAAGCGTAGGGGGGGAAACATTAAAGATGGGGGGGAACATTCAAGCGTAGGGGGGGGGAACATTAAAAAAGCGTAGGGGGGAACATTACAAGCGTAGGGGGGGAAATTACAAGGGGGGGGAGGAACTTTACAAGCGTGGGGGGGGGAAACATTACAAGCGTGGGGGAAAAGGAACATTACAGCTTTGGGGAGGAACATTACAAGCGTAGGGGAGGAACATTCAAGCGTGGGGGAGGAACATTAAAAGGTGGGGGAGGAACTTACAAGGTGGGGGAGGAACATTAAGGTGGGGGGAAAATTTACAGCGTGGGGGGGGAACTTAAAAGCGTAGGGGAAGGGGAAAACTTTAAAAGGTTTTGGGGAGGAAATTACAAGCGTGGGGGGGGGAACATTAAAACGTGGGGGAACTTACAAGGTGGGGGGAGGAACATTACAAGGTGGGGGAGGAACATTACAAGCGGGGGGGGGAACATTACAAGCGTGGGGGGGAACATTACAAGGTGGGGGGAGGAACTTACAAGGTGGGGGGGGGAAACATTCAAGGTGGGGGAGGAACATTACAAGCTTTGGGGGGGAAACATTACAAGCGGGGGAGGAACATTAAAAAGCGTAGGGGAGGAACTTAAAAGCGTAGGGGAGGAACTTTACAGCTTTGGGGGAGGAAAATTACAAGCGTAGGGGAAGAACTTACAAGCGTGGGGGGGAAACTTACAAGCGTGGGGGGGAACATTACAAGCGTGGGGGAGGAACATTACAAGCGTGGGGGGGAACATACAAGCGTGGGGGAGGAAATTACAAGCGTGGGGGAGGAACTTACAAGTAGGGGGGAACATTACAAGCTAGGGGAGGAACATTCAAGGGGGGAGGAACATTACAAGCGTGGGGGAGGAACATTACAAGGTAGGGGAGGAAATTAAAGCGTGGGGGAGGAACATTAAAAGCGTAGGGGGGAAACTTTACAAAGCGTAGGGGGGAAAACTTAAAAGCGTGGGGGAGGAAATTAAAGCGTAGGGGAGGAACTTTTCAAGGGGGGGGAGGAACTTACAAGCGTAAGGGGGGAAAATTTACAAGCGTGGGGGGGGAAACATTACAAGCGTGGGGGAGGAACTTAAAAGCGTGGAGGGGAAATTACAAGGAGGAGGGGGAACATTACAAGCGTGGGGAGGAACATTAAAAGCGAGGGGAGGAAATTAAAAGTGTGGGGGGAGGAACATTACAAGCTGGGGGAGGAACATTAAAGCGTAGGGGGGGGAACTTTACAAGGGTAGGGGAGGAAACATTCAAGGTGGGGGGGGGAAACTACAGGTGGGGAGGAAATTAAAGGGTGGGGGGGAAACTTACAAGCGTAGGGGAGGAAACTTTACAAGGGTAGGGGGGGAAACATTAAAAGCGTAGGGGAGGACATTACAAGCTGGGGGGGGAAACTTTACAAGCTGGGGGGGAAAACATTCAAGCGGGGGGGGAGGAACTTACAAGCGTAGGGGAGGAACATTCAAGCGTAGGGGGAACATTAAAAAGCGTAGGGGAGGAACTTTAAGGAGGGGGGAACATTACAAGTGTGGGAAAGGAACACACAAACAAGTTTTAGGAGAGGAAACACTACAAGTGTAGGAGAGGAAAACCTACAAGTGTAGGAGAAAAAAAACACACTACAAGTTTTGGAGAGGAAACATCAAGTGTAGGGGGGAGGAAAAACACACTCAAGTGTAGGAGAAGAAACACTAAAGTGTAAAAGAGGAACACACTCAAGTGTGGAGAGGAACACACTAAAAAGTGTAGAAGAGGAACCCCTACAAGTGTGGGAAAAGGGAAACACACTACAAGTGTAAAAAAGGAACCACTAAAGTGTAGAAGAGGAACCATAAAGTGAGGAGAGGAACACCTACAAGTGTAAAAGAGGAACAACCAAGTGTAGGAAGGAACACACTAAAAGGGTGTAGAGAGGAACCCCACTCAAGTGTAAAGGAGGAAAAACTACAAGTTTAGGAAGAGGAACACATAAAAGTGTAGGAGGGGAAACCCACACTACAAGTGTAGGAAAGGAACCACTACAAGGTAGAAGAGGAACCACTAAAAGTGTAGGAAGGAACACACTAAAAGTGTGAAGAGGAAAACATAAAAGTGTAGGAGAGGAAAACACTTAATGTAGGAAAAGAACAACTAAAGTGTAAAAGAGGAAACACACAAGTGTAGGAGGGACACATACAAGTGTGGGAGAGGAACACACTAAAGTGTAGGAGGGAACACACTACAAAGTGGAGAGAACACATACAAATGTAGGAGAAGAAACATTTTAAAGTGTCGGAGGAACCCTGGGAGTGTACGGGGAAACATCGAGGGTACGAGAGGAACACACTAGAGTGTCGAGAGGAACACGTACAAGGTAGGAGAGGAAACAGTACAAGTGTCGAGAGGAGCACACAAATGTAGGAAAAGAACACACTCCCAAATGTAGGAGAAGAACACACTAGGTGACGAGGGGAAAACACCTAGGGTTACGAGAGGAACACCTACGAGTGACGAAGGAACCCTACAAGTGTACGAGGGGAACAACTACGAGTTCAAGGGGAAAACACACTACGAGTGTAGAGGGGGAACACGTAAAAGTGTAGGGGGAGGAAAAAAAACACAGTAAAGTGTAAGGAGGAGCCCAACAAAATGTGGGAAAAAAAAACCACTAAAGTGTAGGAGGGAACACACTACAAGTGTAGGGAGGAACCTCAATGTGGGGAGGGAAACATACAAGTGTAGGAGAGGAACACAGTACAAGTGTAGGAGGACCCACAAATGTAGGAAAAGAACACATCAAGTGAGGAGGGAACACATACAAGTGTAGGGGAGGAACACCTACAAGGTAGGAGAGGAACACATACAAGTTAGGGGGAAACACATACAAGTGTAGGGAGGAACACACTACAAGTGTAGGGGGAACAACTACAAGTGTAGGAGAGGAAACATACAAGTGTAGGAGGGGAAAAACACCTACAAGTGTAGAAGAGGAAACCTGGGTTTGTACGAGGGGAAAAACCACTGAGTGTAGGAGGGGAAACACTCAATTTAGGAGGGGGAACACCACAGTGAGGAGGGAAACATACAAGTTAGGAGAGGAAAACACTACAAGTGTAGGGGGGAAAACCCACTACAAGTGTAGGAGAGGGAACCCACTACAAGTGTTGGAGAGGAACCCCTAAAGTGTTGGGGGAACAACTAAAAGTGTGGAGAACCACTAAAAGTTTTGGGGGAAACACCCTACAAGTGTAGGGAGGAAAACATACAAGTGTGGGAGAGGAACACATACAAGTGTAGGAGGGAAACACACTAAAGTGAGGGAGGAAACATACAAGTTAGGGAGGAACCATACAAGTGTAGGAGAGGAACACATAAAGTGTAGGGGAGGAACCCTAAAAGTGTAGGGGGAAACCATACAAGTGTAAGGAAGACACTAAAAGTGTAGGAGAGGGAAAACACTACAAGGTGGGGAAAAGAACACACTAAAAGTGTAGGAGAGAAAACACTTTACAAGTGTTGGAGAGGAACCCACTAAAGTGTAAAAGCCCTACAAGTGTAGGAGAAAACACTAGAGGAACACAAAAAGTTTTAAAAGACACTAAAAGGGTAGGAGAGGAAACATAAAGTTGGAGAAGAACACACTAAAGTGTAAAAGCATACAAGTGTAGGAGGAAAAACATTACAAGTTTTGGAGAGAACACACTACAAGTGTGAAGAACTACAATGTAGGAAAGAACACGCTACAAGTGTAGGAGAAACCTAAAAGTGTAGGGGAAAAATACAAGTGTAGAAGACACACAAGTGTAGGAGAGGAAAACACTACAATTTGTAGGAGACACTACAAGTGGGGAAAAAAAAAAACACACTGAGGAACCATACAATTGTAGAAGACACTACAAGTGTAGGAGAGGAAACATACAAGGTAGAAGCCCTACAATTTTGTAGGAGGAAAAAAATTAAAGTGTTGGAAGGAACACACTAAAAGTGTAGGAGGGGAAAACACATCAAGGGTAGGAGGGGAAAACACCCCAAGTGTAGGGGGAAACATTATTATTAACAATTTTTATACCTTGCTGTATTTATTCTGCACAATGTTAACAATGGGAACAAAAGTATCTTATTTTCCATGTACGGATAGGTGTCATACAAGGCTTTGAAATCTGTAGTATTAATGATCAAAAATACAAAAACACTTTAGTACCTTTATGTGGAGACGTTTCGTCACAAGTGGTTTTATAATTTCCATCCGAAAATTTAAAACAGTGGAAGATGTGAAGAATAATTTGGGGTTTTTAAAACAGTCGGAGATGGTGTAAAAGGGGCGACCCCACTAGGGAAGACCAGTCAATGTTACACAAACATTAGGCGTAGAGGATTTCTCTGCCCAAAGTTTCCCAAGATTTGCTTTCCTAACCTATTTGCAGGGACTCTTCCAAAAGTACCCCCCCCACTTTTATGGTTTCGTCACCCCCTGTTTCCCCTCCCCGGGCTCCAGTATCGGTTCATCCTCGTCATTGCTTTAAAAAAAAAAAAAACCTTTCCACGGGGGGGGGGAGAGAACCCGCGGTCGAGAGTATATGGTTTTGTGGTATGGTTTGCAATTTTGTCATTACGTTTTCTGAGTCATCTGCTTTACATTTATAAATGGATTGAGGGACTAACCACCTCAAGTTCCCCCTTCCGTTTTCCACTGTTATTCTTTATGTTTATCAGTCAATACTAGTGAACATTAAAAATCTAAATATTTGTAGGCAGGCCCCCTGCCCAACCCTTTGGCTTGCATACCATGTGCCCCCCAGGACTTCTACTTCTGGATAGGCTTACGAGAGGGGAGCCAAAGAAAAGACAGTTTCGACTCCCCAGTTTTACAAATATATCCCCTCCTATAACAGCCCATCGGTGTTTTCATTTGTTACCTTTCCCCCGTTATCAAACCCCCGTCAAAAACTGGAGGAAAACCCAACAAGCGTGGGGGGAGGAACCCCCTACAAGTGTAGGAGAGGAACACACAAGTGTCGGAGAGGAACACCCTACAAGCGTAGGAGAGGAACACACTACAAGCGTAGGGGAGGAACACACTACAAGTGTCGGAGAGGAACACCCTACAAGCGTAGGAGAGGAACACACTACAAGTGTAGGGGAGGAACACACTACAAGTGTAGGGGAGGAACACCCTACAAGTGTAGGAGAGGAACACACTACAAGTGTTGGAGAGGAACACCCTACAAGCGTAGGGGAGGAACACCCTACAAGTGTAGGAGAGGAACACACTACAAGTGTAGGAGAGGAACACACTACAAGTGTAGGAGAGGAACACACTACAAGCGTAGGGGAGGAACACTACAAGTGTAGGAGAGGAACACACTAAAGTGTCGAAGAGGAACACCCTACAAGTGTAGGGGAGGAACACTCTACAAGTGCAGGGGAGGAACACACTACAAGTGTAGGAGAGGAACACACTACAAGTGTAGGAGAGGAACACACTACAAGTGTCGGAGAGGAACACCCTACAAGCGTAGGGGAGGAACACTACAAGTGTAGGAGAGGAACACACTAAAGTGTCGAAGAGGAACACCCTACAAGTGTAGGGGAGGAACACTCTACAAGTGCAGGGGAGGAACACACTACAAGTGTAAGAGAGGAACACACTACAAGTGTAGGAGAGGAACACACTACAAGTGTAGGAGAGGAACACCCTACAAGCGTAGGAGAGGAACACACTACAAGTGTAGGGGAGGAACACACTACAAGTGTAGGGGAGGAACACCCTACAAGTGTAGGAGAGGAACACACTACAAGTGTTGGAGAGGAACACCCTACAAGCGTAGGGGAGGAACACCCTACAAGTGTAGGAGAGGAACACACTACAAGTGTAGGAGAGGAACACACTACAAGTGTAGGAGAGGAACACACTACAAGTGTAGGAGAGGAACACACTACAAGTGTCGGAGAGGAACACACTACAAGCGTAGGGGAGGAACACTACAAGTGTAGGAGAGGAACACACTAAAGTGTCGAAGAGGAACACCCTACAAGTGTAGGGGAGGAACACTCTACAAGTGCAGGGGAGGAACACACTACAAGTGTAGGAGAGGAACACACTACAAGTGTAGGAGAGGAACACACTACAAGTGTCGGAGAGGAACACCCTACAAGCGTAGGGGAGGAACACTACAAGTGTAGGAGAGGAACACACTAAAGTGTCGAAGAGGAACACCCTACAAGTGTAGGGGAGGAACACTCTACAAGTGCAGGGGAGGAACACACTACAAGTGTAGGAGAGGAACACACTACAAGTGTAGGAGAGGAACACACTACAAGTGTAGGAGAGGAACACACTACAAGTGTAGGAGAGGAACACACTACAAGTGTAGGAGAGGAACACACTACAAGTGTAGGAGAGGAACACACTACAAGTGTAGGAGAGGAACACACTACAAGTGTAGGAGAGGAACACACTACAAGTGTAGGAGAGGAACACACTACAAGTGTAGGAGAGGAACACACTATAAGTGTAGGGGAGGAACACCCCATACTGGAGAGATAAAGCCACTGGCTGGCGAAACATCTCCACAATAAAGATACACAGGTGTTGCTCACGTGTCTTATTCATCAAACTGTCGGTTCATTATTAATGTGAAACATGCAGGGCAAGACCATCTTCACTACCCATTGACAAAGTAATATTTGTAGTAATAATTCTCTCTCTCTCTCTCTCTCTCTCTCTCTCTCTCTCTCTCTCTCTCTCTCTCTCTCTCTCTCTCTCAGCTCATGATTAACAGAGGGAGGATCGAACCTCCAGTACTTGCTCTGAATAATCTACGTGAATTTAGCGCTTCGTGAAATGCAAAATCTCACTTTCACTCACCGTAGACAGTGACCGAAGCATTGTATCGATGTTTCACTCACCGTAGACAATCACTGAAGCACTATCGATGTTTCACTCACCGTAGAGTGACCGAAGCACTGTATCGATGGTTCACTCACCGTAGACAGTGACCGAAGCACTGTATCGATGGTTCACTCACCGTAGACAGTGACCGAAGCACTGTATCGGTTTCACTCACCGTAGACAATCACTAAAGCACTATCGATGTTTCACTCACCGTAGAGTGACCGAAGCACTGTATCGATGGTTCACTCACCGTAGACAGTGACCGAAGCACTGTATCGATGTTTCACTCACCGTAGACAGTCACTGAAGCCCTCTACAGCAAACTTTGTGGTAGCGTACGGTGACATGAGACCTCGACCGATGCTGCCTGCAACACTCGACATGATCACCACGCGCCCTGCAACAAGATCACGTACAAAAAATTATTTTCAATAAATTACACACAAGGACAGAAAAGTGTTAAAAAACACCATAAACGCGAGACAAAAAAGAAAGAAGGTAAGAGGTATATGATGCTGACGAGTAGTGGAGAGAAACAAAGACTGGAAATGTGATCCCGGTGATATAGTGTAACTTGTACAAATTTCGAACCAATAGGATATTACCCATTCTGGAGACCGCTGTACCATGATGTTGACACGTCCTTCTTAAACCAATCCATCTCACCACATTTGTACTATTATTATTACTACTACTACTACTACTACTACCCTCGCAGCTTTCCACCTGACCACTATTTATACTCGTTTCTTAGTTACGTTTGAATTAAGACGGGTCATCGCAAGACTAGGACCCGTGCCAGGACCACGGTCCTGGCGAACATTATACATACATACCTCTGTATTAGGACTGAAGAAGCCACTCGTGGCGAAACGTTTCATTTAATAAAAGTCCTGAAATGTACATGTCTTTTTCCACATCTTGTCGGTATCACCAGTCCATTTCTCTCATGTGATCACTAAAATAGACCCCATGACCGGGAAGTTTCTACTTAGCATGCCGTAAACTGATTGTGTTTTGTTTTTCTGCAATGGCAGGACATCTATGATCGTACTGATAAAAACACATAAGCAGTAATTAGAAACTGTTGAAACTTGAAAAGAAAGGATGATAAATGAGACACTTGTGCAAGACTTGGGTATCTTTATTGTGAAAACGTTTCGCCAACCAGTGGCTTCCTCAGTGCAATACAGAGAAGTAATGGTTGAAACTCAGAAGGCGTTTGAGGTAATTAGTCCCTCAGCCTAGAGTCGATGTGATCACATGGACTCCAGGCTGAGGGACTGATTACCTCGATCATATTCTGGTCTTCAATCATTCTTCTTTGCATTAGACCATGGAAGCCAGTGTATGGCGAAACGTTTCCACTATAAAGATACCCAAGTCTTGCACAAGTATCCAATTTATCAACTTACCGGTTCTCTGAACCACTTATCCACACGTTACAGTGGTAATGAAATATTTATGAGGTGGTAACTTGACTATTAAAATATGAGCAGCGAGAGAGCCCACCAGACTACGTATGGCAGTCATGGTTGTGAGATTAACAGAGCACTAACTATGCCAGTCACTTAGCGTTCATTGCCAGGACTACGTATGGTAGCCAACAAATTATGTATATCAGTGGCTCCGTGCAGCTGGTAGTGCAGTTGCTTCTATAAGGAACTTGAAACATGTATCAGTCCAGACTTACTATGCTCCTTGGACTCAGATATGTCCATGTGTCTAAAGATGACAGCCTGAGTGCGACTACCATTCAGAAATGCTATTGAGTACACGAGTATCAACGAACCACGTCTTCCAGGAGGGAGAGGCTAACTTTGAATAGTTTGAGAACAATAATGCGAAAAAAATAAGCGGAATACAAAAATTCTTAGATTTTATCATACTTATTTTTAAACATGAAATATTAAAAAAAAAATAAGAAAATGTGCAGCGGTTTCAAGCATTTTCTGACCACTAAACTGAGGCAGAGGGACAACATACCAGTCAGTTTGTCATCATTCTGCCATGCAGGTACCCCTCGGAGGTGCCTTGATGCCGATGAAGGGCTCTTGATCTCGGAAACTGGTCTTACCCTCTCTGATTGCTTCACATATTCGTGTACGCTACATGACATCACTGCATCAGCACTTCCTCTTAATTAATTAAAATATATTATGCAGGGGAAGCTACATGTCTCTGGCACATTTAATATCAGCAGACTCTTGGCCGTCACTACTGCCAGACTACAAGTACCTTGACAGTTCACACCACCAATTGATGTAGACAACCGAATGTAAACTTTGAGGAAATACGTGGAGGGGATGACTGTGTAGAGGAGAACGTGGAGGAGGTGAAGAAGCAGGTGGAAGTATTTGAGAGTGGGTGGAGGAGAAGGATCGAGCCACGGGTTTAAATGTGATATCTTGACACTCCCGATATCTTGTTAGTGAGAAACGGGACAACTTCTGTTATACCTTAAGAACTGGATGCTTGTTTCTATCTGTTCATGAAGAAATATTGGTTGTTGATCTCCACACCCCAGTTCTCTCAAGGGACTCTAACCTCTATGAAGACCACCTGGTGGTGGCCTTTATAAGCTCAGCAGCGCGGGAACAAACACTACGACATATTTATTAAAAAACGCTCCGGTCCTTTCTAAACCAATTTGTCGGTATCTATTATCAAGGTTTATACCAAGCTGAGGAACCTTGGTTGGGCATATCTCAGGAACCTTGGTTGGGCATAGCTGAGGAACCTTAGTTGGGCATAACTGAGGAACCTTGGTTGGGCATAGGAGCTCAGGAACCTTGGTTGGGCATAGGAGCTGAGGAACCTTGGTTGGGCATAACTGAGGAACCTTGGTTGGGCATAGGAGCTCAGGAACCTTGGTTGGGCATAGGAGCTGAGGAATCTTGGTTGCTCATAGGAGCTAGGGGCTGAGGAACCTCGTTTGTACATAAGAGCTGAGAAGCCTTGGTTAGCCATCGAGCTGGGAGCTGTGTGTAAGGACTCTGTCGGGGACGCAGCTAAAGCTGTGTGTGAGGTCTTGGGAGCTGGAGCCTAGCTAGTCTTCTAGATCTACTAAGCATTATTTAATACTGTTAGTGTATATGCAGTTTTGTCAGCTAATTGTATTCCTCTGTCTCAATGATCTTGTGTCTTCCCTTGTTATCTTAGTCTCAGATACCTCTCTCTTTGACCAAGTATACTGTTGTAATAATTATGTATTAATAATGTATTAAGGGAAACAGGTTAGCCGGACTCGAGTCCTGGAGGTGGGAAGCACTATGCCTGCACTTTAAAGGAGGGGATTGGGATATCGACTGTTTGGAGGGACATATAAACTGTTGTATCTGAGCGCCTCTGCAAAGACAGTGAAAATGTATGAATGATGGTGAAAGTGTTTCTTTCTTTTTTGGGTCATCCTGCATCGGTGGGAGACGGCCGACGTCATGGAAAAAAAAAAAGTGTGAAATACATCTTCAATGTGTTACCCTTAATAAGAGTGAATATTAAGTGGTAAGATAAAAGCTAAGTGGGAGTGAGCACAGTCGCGACGGTGTAGTGAGGCGAGATGCTGCATCCTGGATTTAACTTTTTTACTCATTTATCATATTGAAAGTAAGATGGTTGCTACCTTTCTAAACCTGTGATGTGATATCTATTATCCTCTGCTTTATAATCACGGGGAAACGCTAAACCCGTAAGTCAGACAGCGCCTGGGGTAATGGCAGATATTCAGGAACTCTATGGAAGTTTGTCTGACTTTTTAGATTATCATAGGTAATGTACACACGTTATGTATGATAATTGTAACGAACACAAAGGAAACTTGCAACATTAACTAGACACACTAACACACGAAGGCAAGGGAGCCAGTATATAAACTGTTTTTTTTTTTTCTAATTGCACTTCTGTGGACCTGTACCTAAATAACTTACATGTTCCCTCCACGAAAGAGCAGCTCTAGTTCCACAAATCAAGAGCCCTTCTAGAGCATCAGTCAAATACCCTGGATGTCAACTTCTGAAGCCACCTGCACTCTCTATGCCCGACCATACAAATTAACTTTTGAAGAACCCATACAGATTTAGAGCGCACACGTACCTTTGGCCAGTCTGATGAGAGGCAGGAAGGTCTTAGTGACGGAGATAACACCGAAGATATTGATGTTTGCAACACTGATGTAAGTATGTAGGGGCACCCACTCCACCATCCCGTAGGTCAAGACACCAGCGTTGTTCACGACCCCCCACAACACCTCTGTCAGGGAGGAAATAAACCTCAGTGTAAACCACTAAATCTTAAGCCACACTTGCCCAGCCTCGCATATCAATTGTATTACATATCGACAAGTATATTAATAAAACACAATGTGCGGTTTATGGTATTTTATCGAGATGTTTCGTCCATCTGGGACGAATCGGTAAAGTCCCTGGTGGGCGAAATGTCTTCTCTATAAAAGGCCACAAACCTCGTACTGTGTCGTATTTACACTGTCCAAATTCACTGTAAACAGCAGACCTAAACCAATTGTTATAACTCTGTGGAAGCGCAAAACCAACACGAGGACAAAAGAGCGTCTGGCAAGTGAGAGATAATCAGGTCTAAACAGAGTTTAAGATGTCCTTAATTCCTTGGATCAAGAGTCCTTCACCAGCATCAAGACACCTCCCTTGAAGGACACAGATAACACTATACACCTGGAGCCATTTTTCTAATAATCCATCCTCATTTACTGTCTAGTTTTAACACCTTCAATTAACCTCTGTACTAAATTGAGAGTCACTGGTTGATGGTCCGTCTTTACTATAAACACACCAGGTGTTGCTTCTGTCTCTTATTTAACATGACTCACGAAATCGTAATGACACAATTGCAAACCATACCACGGGTGGGATAGAACCCACGGTCAGTCATAAAACTCCAGACTGACGCGTTAGCCACTGGGCCAGCTGGCTACAATAAGATTCATCCAGATAGGTACATTGTAGCCAGCTGGCCCAGTGGCTAACGCGTCAGTCTGGAGTTTTATGACTGACCGCGAGTTCTACCCACACCCGTGGTATGGTTTCTTATTTATCATCTTGTCGGTATTGTGTACCATTACTACTACTAATAGTAATAATAATAATCTTTATTTCTACAAGTACATGTACAAGGTATACAGACCATAGCTGACATTAATGACATACTACTATATATAAAGTCCCTGGTTATGCAGAGCATTTCCGGCAAATTGGGTCAATTTCGTCCCCAGGATGCGACCCACACCAGTTGACTAACACCCAGGTGCCTATTTTACTGCTAGGTGAACATGGACAGTAGGTGTCTTAAGGAAACACGCCTAATGTTCCCACCCGTACCGGGGATCGAACCACTGACCTCAGTGTGTGAAAGCTGAGTGCGCTATTATTCGGGCCACCAATTCCTCGTTAAACCCGCCACTGAATGACCCATGTGGGTTAAACGCTTCCCAAAGACTATAATCATAAAAATATATTCTCATGTGGGGTAATACTGTCTCCATATTTGCATATATTAACGACTGTGTACATCATATAAGTATCTGCAGCAATCATAATAAATGATAATAGCATACATGTAATAATAATTAGCATTTAATAAGCAACGATGATAATGCAATTAAGACATTGCAACCATAAACAGATTCGCAATGAAAACAAATGTGTTAGGGAAAGTGTAGAAATAATCAGCATGGAACCTACCTACCTGGAGGGTGTTGCGGGGGTCAACGCCCCCGCGGCCCGGCTCAGGACTAGGCCTCCCTTGAAAATGTATGTAACGCTTTAGGTTGGTACCCATGAACTCCGACAAGGGAGTAGAGAGTGTATGGACACCCGGCTATGTTGTACAGTTTTGAACATTGTCACCACCACTCTTCATATATAAATAACTCGCATACATGACAAACAAATTGATGACGTGTGACTAGTTAATGGTCGAAATTAGAGCGAAACGTCGGCAAAAGCTTCATTCTCCTATGTGTGGGTTTTTTGTGTATTGTTCCAGTCACGGTAATGTGTTTATTCCATATTCACTCCATCTTCATGCTTACTGGCAACACAGACTTACACGAAGTTCTCGTGCGGCTACACACTACTTCACTGGCTCACCTCCTCCCGGTAGAAGACGCTCCACATCCTGGGCCGCCTGCTTCACCTGCTCTTGGTTAGTGATATCCATTTGCAAGACGTGAAGGCGGTTTGAGCCCTTCTCCCGGAGGAGGTCAGCTCCAGCGCCCCCTGCCTGCAGACACCCAGCAAACACCCGGAACCCCTGTGGAAATGGAACTTATTTGTGCCTTGATACTGAAGGTCTCTTGATCCCGAGGAAATGTAATCGCCCGTCCCCTTGACTCTAGCCTTATTTCCTCTCACTATTTCCTTCATGGCTTTAGAATGCCGCATCTAATTGGCTTCAAACTCTACCCGCTGGTTTACGGTAACGTTGGTGAGGATGCCTATGATAAAAATTACATTGCCCATTCCCCAGACGGTGTATGAGCCTCAATAATTACCATTTTGTCGAGGATAAGGGCAAAGGCGTGACCGAAACCTGAATCACAACCGGTTACCAGGACAGCTTTCCCTGAGGGCGAAACCTGTTAGGAAGACAAGTAATTTATTAGTGTTATGCATCCCCATCCTGTGAGTGGTAAGTCATCCGCATATCCATCCTGTGGGTGGTAGTTACGTGTATTCCCATCCTGTGGGTGGTAGTTACGTGTATTCCCATCCTGTGGGTGGTAGTTACGTGTATTCCCATCCTGTGGGTGGTAGTTATGTGTATTCCCATCCTGTGGGTGGTAGTTAAGTGTATTCCCATCCTGTGGGTGGTAGTCACATGTATTCTCATCCTGTGGATAGTAGCCACCCCATATAGTCACGAATCAGTAAGGTAACATCTGGGTATCGCTATTTGTAGACGTTTCACCATCCAATGGCTTTATCAATACAAATTTAAGGGCATAATTGGAAGACTTTAGAACTGTATGCAAAAAAAGGATAAACGCGGTAATCAGTCCCTCAACCTTGGAGCTGGTGAAGAGCACCGTAGTACTGAGGAATCTGAAGCACTGGCAGTAAGCTTGGCACTTATCTACTGGCGTCGGGCGAGGGACGTACAGCAGACGAAGGTATTGTCATTGGTAGGCGGGATTCCCCAGTGGAAGTAGGTCATACCCAAAGGATGGGCGAGGACATCCTGCTACCTTCTTGCCTTCTACTGGCCAATTCCTTGGGTATGACCTACTTCCACTGAGGAATCCCACCTACCAGTGACAATGCCTTCGTCTGCCGTACGTCCCTCATCTGACGCCAGTATATACCTGGAGTTTACCTGGAGCGAGTTCCGGGGGTCAACGCCCCCGCGGCCCGGTCTGTGACCAGACCTCTTGGTGGATAAGAGCCTGATCAACCAGGCTGTTACTGCTGGTTGCACGCAAACCAACGTACGAGCCACAGCCCGGCTGGTCAGGAACCGACTTTAGGTGCTTGTCCAGTGCCAGCTTGAAGACTGCCAGGGGTCTGTTGGTAATCCCCCTTATGTGTGCTGGGAGGCAGTTGAACAGTCTCGGGCCCCTGACACTTATTGTAAGGTCTCTTAACGTCCTAGTGACACCCCTGCTTTTCATTGGGGGGATGGTGCATCGTCTGCCAAGTCTTTTGCTTTCGTAGTTTACCTGGAGAGAGTTCCGGGGGTCAACGCCCCCGCGGCCCGGTCTGTGACCAGGCCTCCTGGTGGATCAGAGCCTGATCAACCAGGCTGTTGCTGCTGGCTGCACGCAAACCAACGTACGAGCCACAGCCCGGCTGATCCGGAACTGACTTTAGGTGCTTGTCCAGTGCCAGCTTGAAGACTGCCAGGGGTCTGTTGGTAATCCCCCTTATGTGTGCTGGGAGGCAGTTGAACAGTCTCGGGCCCCTGACACTTATTGTATGGTCTCTTAACGTGCTAGTGACACCCCTGCTTTTCATTGGGGGGATGGTGCATCGTCTGCCAAGTCTTTTGCTTTCGTAGTGAGTGATTTTCGTGTGCAAGTTCTGTACTAGTCCCTCTAGGATTTTCCAGGTGTATATAATCATGTATCTCTCCCTCCTGCGTTCCAGGGAATACAGGTTTAGGAACCTCAAGCGCTCCCAATAATTGAGGTGTTTTATCTCCGTTATGCGCGCCGTGAAAGTTCTCTGTACATTTTCTAGGTCGGCAATTTCACCTGCCTTGAAAGGTGCTGTTAGTGTGCAGCAATATTCCAGCCTAGATAGGACAAGTGACCTGAAGAGTGTCATCATGGGCTTGGCCTCCCTAGTTTTGAAGGTTCTCATTATCCATCCTGTCATTTTTCTAGCAGATGCGATTGATACAATGTTATGGTCCTTGAAGGTGAGATCCTCCGACATGATCACTCCCAGGTCTTTGACGTTGGTGTTTCGCTCTATTTTGTGGCCAGAATTTGTTTTGTACTCTGATGAAGATTTAATTTCCTCATGTTTACCATATCTGAGTAATTGAAATTTCTCATCGTTGAACTTCATATTGTTTTCTGCAGCCCACTGAAAGATTTGGTTGATGTCCGCCTGGAGCTTTCCAGTGTCTGCAATGGAAGACACTGTCATGCAGATTCGGGTGTCATCTGCAAAGGAAGACACGGTGCTGTGGCTGACATCCTTGTCTATGTCAGATATGAGGATGAGGAACAAGATGGGAGCGAGTACTGTGCCTTGTGGAACAGAGCTTTTCACCGTAGCTGCCTCGGACTTTACTCTGTTGACGACTACTCTCTGTGTTCTGTTAGTGAGGAAATTATAGATCCATCGACCGACTTTTCCTGTTATTCCTTTAGCACGCATTTTGTGCGCTATTACGCCATGGTCACACTTGTCGAAGGCTTTTGCAAAGTCTGTATATATTACATCTGCATTCTTTTTGTCTTCTAGTGCATTTAGGACCTTGTCGTAGTGATCCAATAGTTGAGACAGACAGGAGCGACCTGTTCTAAACCCATGTTGCCCTGGGTTGTGTAACTGATGGGTTTCTAGATGGGTGGTGATTTTGCTTCTTAGGACCCTTTCAAAGATTTTTATGATATGGGATGTTAGTGCTATTGGTCTGTAGTTCTTTGCTGTTGCTTTACTGCCTCCTTTGTGGAGTGGGGCTATGTCTGTTGTTTTTAGTAACTGTGGGACGACCCCCGTGTCCATGCTCCCTCTCCATAGGATGGAAAAGGCTCGTGATAGGGGCTTCTTGCAGTTCTTGATGAACACAGAGTTCCATGAGTCTGGCCCTGGGGCAGAGTGCATGGGCATGTCATTTATCGCCTGTTCGAAGTCATTTGGCGTCAGGATAACATCGGATAGGCTAGTGAGTGATTTTCGTGTGCAAGTTCGGTACTAGTCCCTCTAGGATTTTCCAGGTGTATATAATCATGTATCTCTCCCTCCTGCGTTCCAGGGAATACAGGTTCAGGAACCTCAAGCGCTCCCAGTAATTGAGGTGTTTTATCTCCGTTATGCGCGCCGTGAAAGTTCTCTGTACATTTCCTAGGTCAGCAATTTCACCTGCCTTGAAAGGTTTTTACTTTACTGCCCGTGCTTCACATTCTTTAAAATTACGGTGCTCACCAAGTCCAAGGCTGAGGGGCTGCAGTCTTCCCATCATGCCCTTGAATTTGTGCTGATAAAGCCACTGGAGGGCGAAACGTTTAAAAATAAAGATACCTAGATGTTGCACATGTATCTAATTCTTCATTAAGGTGTTGAGTCCCTTAGCCCTGATAGATGTTCGGCCCTTTAGCCTTCATCAAGGCTGAGGAACTGAATGCCAGTCAAGGCTGAAGGACTGATTACCTCGAGTTACCTCGTCACTTCTTCCTTCTTCACTATATATTAATGTATCGAACACAAAAAAAGCTGATTGGCGAAACGTCTCTTTCGGTAAAGGCTTTGATAGTGCATGTTTGGAGAGGTTTTTCCTACTCCCGGAGCCCGCCCCTGGGTCAGGCTTGTCTGGTCAACTAGGTCGTTGCTGCTGGCGGTCCAGGGTCAGTCTTGGCTGACCAACCAGGTTGTTGTTGCCGGTGACCCTGGGTCAGTCTTGTCTGGTCAACCAGGTCATTGCTGCTGGCGGCCCAGGGTCAGTCTTGGCTGACCAACCAGGTCGTTGCTGCTGGTGACCCTGGGTCAGTCTTGTCTTGTCAGCCAGGTCGTTGCTACTTGTTGACCTGGGTTAGGCTTGTCTGGTCAACCAGGTCGTTGTTGCTGGTGACCCTGGGTCAGTCTTGTCTTGTCAGCCAGGTCGTTGCTACTTGTTGACCTGGGTTAGGCTTGTCTGCTCAACCAGGTCGTTGCTGCTGGTGACCCTGGGTCAGTGTTGTCTTGTGAACCAGGTCGTTGCTGCTGGTGACCCTGGGTCAGTGTTGTCTTGTGAACCAGGTCGTTGCTGCTGGTGGCCTTGGGTCAGTCTTGACTGACCAACCAGGTTGTTGCTGCTGGAGTCCCTGGGTCAGTCTTGTCTGGTCAACCAGGTCATTGCTGGTAGATAAGACACATAGGCAACATTTAGGCAACTTTATTCCGAAACGTTTCGCCTACACAGTATGCTTCTTCAGTCGAGTACAGAAAGTACTGCCTACTTTCTGTACTCGACTGAAGAAACCTACTGTGTAGGCGAAACGTTTCGGAATAAAGTTGCCTAAATGTTGCCTATGTGTCTTATCTACCAACCTGTCGGTATTGTATACCATTTGATAATCACCCAGGTCATTGCTGCTGGTGACCCTAGGTCAGGCTTGTCTGGTCCACCAGGTCGTTGCTGCTGGCGGCCCAGGGTCAGTCTTGTCTGGTCAACCAGGTTATTGCTGCTGGCGGCCCGATGGCCCACATATCCTTCACAGCCTGGTTGATCGGGCACTTAGTGGAGGTACTTGGGAAGTTTCCTCTCGAGAAACATGTCCCGGAAGTGTTTCCGATGTATCTGCTGGTAAGATGTTGAACAGTCCGGGTCCACGCATGTTGATACAGTGATACAATGTAACTTCTTCCAATCAAAACGAGTCTTCTCACCACCAAATAATAATGGATGCCAAAATCTGGGCAACCTGCTCGACGACTGATACCCAACTTGTGGCTGGGTGAGGAGTATATCATGTAAGCCGGAGACAGAACTAACCTTCTGTCAAGAGCTAAGCCTTACTACCATCCATTCCACAGGCGCTCTATGGCCTCAACGGGTTTAGCGCTTCCCCATTATAAAGCATAACAATAATAATAATAATAGATACGAAGGATATATACCATACATACACCGTGAGGTAGTTTGTTACCATTTTGTCCTAGGCACATGTCGATTAGACACTAGGCCTGTTGTATATGAGTGCATATGTACTCACCTATTTGTGGTTGCAGGGGTCGAGACTCAGCTCCTGGCCCCGCCTCTTCACTGACCGCTACCGTGTCCCCCCTCCCTGCTCCATGAGCTTTATCATAGGTGTGTGTGTGTGTGTGTGTGTGTGTGTACTCACCTATTTGTGGTTGCAGGGGTCGAGTCTTAGCTCCTGGCCCCGCCTCTTCACCGGTTGCTACTGGGCCCTCTCTCTCCCCGCTCCATGAGCTTTATCAAACCTCGTCTTAAAACTGTGTATGGTTCCTGCCTCCACTACGTCATTTTCTAGGCTATTCCACTGCCTTACAACTCTATGACTGAAGAAATACTTCCTACTATCTCTCTGACTCATTTGTGTCTTCAACTTCCAACTGTGGCCTCTTGTTTCTGTGTCCCCTCCCTGGAACATCCTGTCTTTGTCCACCTTTTCTATTCCACGCAGTATTTTATATGTCGTTATCATGTCTCCCCTGACCCTCCTGTCCTCCAGTGTCGTCAGGCCGATTTCCCTTAATCTTTCTTCATAGGACATTCCCCTTAGCTCTGGAACTAACCTTGTCGCAAACCTTTGTACTTTCTCTAGTTTCTTGACGTGCTTTATCAAGTGCGGGTTCCAAACAGGTGCTGCATACTCCAGTATGGCCTGACATACACGGTGTACAGTGTCTTGAATGATTCCTTACTAAGGTATCGGAATGCTGTTCTCAGGTTTGCCAGGCGCCCATATGCTGCAGCAGTTATCTGATTGATGTGTGCTTCCGGAGACATGCTCGGTGTTATACTCACCCCAAGGTCTTTCTCCTTGAGTGAGATTTGCAGTCTTTGGCCACCTAGCCTATACTCTGTCTGTGGTCTTCTGTGCCCTTCCCCTATCTTCATGACTTTGCATTTGGCAGGATTAAATTCGAGAAGTCATTTGCTGGACCAGGTGTCCAGTCTGTCCAGGTCTCTTTGAAGTCCTGCCTGGTCCTCATCAGATTTAATTCTCCTCATTAACATCACATCATCTGCAAACAGGGACACTTCTGAGTCTAACCCTTCCATCATGTCGTTCACATATACCAAAAATAGCACTGGTCCTAGGACCGACCCCTGTGGGACCCCGCTCGTCACAGGTGCCCACTGTGATACATCATTACGTACCATGACTCGTTGTTGCCTCCCAGTCAGGTATTCTCTGATCCATTGCAGTGCCCTTCCTGTTATATGCGCCTGATGCTCTAGCTTCTGCACTAATCTCTTGTGTGTGTGTGTGTGTGTGTGTGTGTGTGTGTGTGTGTGTGTGTGTGTGTGTGTGTGTGTGTGTGTGTGTGTGTGTGTGTGTGTGTGTGTGTGTGCGTGCGCGCGCACACACACTCGCCTAATTGTGGTTACAGGGGTCGATATTTTAGATATTGAAATATTCCCGACTTGTGGTGTAGTAAATAGGTTTTAAACCCCCATTAACCAACCAGTGACAATACGAAGATGTGTTACATAGCAAAACTTTCCCCAAAGCGACTTCTCACCGTGAGTGTGGAGAGAGTGAGCGAGGCAGCAGCAGTGAGGAGCCAGACAGCAGGGAACACAATGTAAGGGCAGCATATATTCAGGACATGCAGCGAGGCAGCAACCACGCCACTTACTAGACCCCAGAACACCACATCTCCCGTCCTGTCGTAGCTCCAAGCCATACCCGCTCTTCAAGCTGTGTAAATGGAGAGTTCTGTTAGATTTAAAGAATTACTACTACACTTGGGTCATTAAGACTGCAATCCACCCGTACTACATTAAGAATAAGGTTTATTAAAGTGTAAATTAAATAGTTTCCCCGTGAAAACAGAGAGAATTTCACCTAGCACTAGTCATCAGATGACTGACAGAAATGATGAACTGGCAAAGGCATAATATGCCTGCAAAGAGGGAATAGATTAGGCTTTTGGGCTGCATCTAGTAGTTTGAGGACAATACGAAAAGAATTTCAACTGAACTTCAATGACTTGAGAGTGAGTGTGACACCAGTCAGTCCACCTATCATCACTATCATGCAGGAGCCACATGGCTATAGTGTTTCCAACAGTATCAGCAGAGTCTTGGATGTCACTACTACCAGGCTCCGGCTGGGTTACACCCTCCCCCCAGTGGGGAGCCACTGCCGGGTCACCACATGGAGAAGACCCGGACCAGGACCCGTCCTGGCGAACATACTTGTACCTGGCTGGGTTACAAGTACCTGTGGGAAGTTAAATCACCACCTGATGAAGACAACTAAATGTAAACTTCGTCAGAGGAACTAATGTCGCACTTAGTGTCGTTATCTGCTGAAATACGCTAAAATTAATGAATTCAGAAACAACTCCGTCACATATGTTCAAGAACTGTCAAAAGAGTGTACACACAGCGACACATTACCATTCTGAAAATATAATACCCTTCGTCTACTTTAAATAACGCACTTGCTAAAATATGAGGTGTCGGGGATGAGGAGGCATAAAGTTTATATTATAGGTAATCACTAAATAATTACAGGGATGGATGTCAAGAAGAAGGGAATGAAATAGAGATATGACTGGAAATGGCGTGGTAATTGGTGAATGGGTCGTCTGTTGTTAATAATCCTGAGAACCGCATATAATAATAAACAAGAAATAGTAACTAGACAGTAATGATCAGTTGATAATGCCACAATATAAGAATATATTTTATTGCCAGTCTGGGTGAAATGAAAATACACATCCACAAATAACAAAAAGGCACAATACCGTGACTGGAACGATACACAAATAACCCGCACATAAAAGAGAGAAGCTTACGACGACGTTTCGGTCCGACTTGGACCATTGACAAAGTCACACTTTGTCAATGGTCCAAGTCGGACCGAAACGTCGTCGTAAGCTTCTCTCTTTTATGTGCGGGTTATTTGTGTATAATATACACATCCACAGCTGTTTGGAATAAACCTAGCAGTTTGTACATAATAGTCTTTACTTAAAAATCAGTTTGCACTTAACATCAGTTTGTACTTAAGTGGTTTGCACTTAACAGTGGTTTGTACTTAACAGTTTATAGTTAACAGGCCCAATAAGTTACCAAATAAGTTATTCTCCCTGTGTTATTTCCCTTACATTATCACAAAACCTTTAAAGGCATAAATAAAATCACCTAGCCACTATAAATAACACACCTAATACATATTCACAAAGAATAAAAAGGCACAATACTGTAACTAGTTAATGGTACAAGTCGGAGCAGAACGTCATAAGTTAGAATCTCTTGATTACTGGTTATCCGTATATTATAATCACATTTGTTATCTGTACCTATATTTACAAATTTATTAGGACCCAAGGCAAGCATAAACCTTCTTGCGTTACAATACTATGATCACAACTTACACACTCATCTCTTAGAGTGCAGCTTCAGGGATGCTGCAGCCTCTTTCCCAGATATATAGAGACTCCACCTCCTAAGATGGAAAAATATCCTCACCTCAATCCTAGACTGAGGTAATGGTGCCAAACCAGAGCAGAAGTGATCCATGCCCTGCCGCTGCCAACGATGACTAGAGCTGTACTAAAAAAATACACTTATTTATCACACACACACACACACACACACACACACACACACACACACACACACACACACACACAGTGAAGAGGCGGGGCCAGGAGCTCGGACTCGACCCCTGCAACCTCAACTAGGTGAGTACAACTAGGTGAGTACACACACACACACACACACACACACCTAACATAAATAAAAACTTATAACAATAAACAGCTAATAACTAGCTTCCTAACCAATGACAAAATAACCCATAGCCTCGGAGAGGTTGTGATAATGGGAGCTTTCAACTAGAGACAGATTGAATGGAGCAATTTGACAGGAAATTTAGAATCAAGTGACTTTCTTGATACGATTCAGGATTGTTTTTTAAAACAGTTTGTGACAGAGCCAACTAGAGGAAATAACCTCCTTGACTTGGTTCTTGCCAGTAGGGAAACACTAATTAATAATCTTGAGGTTAATGATGAGCTTGGGGAAAGTGATCAAAAATCACGCAGTTTTAATATATCATGGAATTCCCCTAATAATGGCAATCAAGTCTCTGTTCCTGACTTCCGCTTGGCTGATTTCATAGGACTGAAAAATTACTTGGGTGGGCTGAACTGGAATGACCTGACTATGGGTCAGGTAGGTGGTGATGGTTGCCGATATGACATTTTCCAGAGCATAGTTCTAGCTGCTCAGAGAACTTACGTTCCAAATAAGGAAATCAGATCAAGCAAAAATGATCCTAAATGGATGAACAATAGATTAAAACATCTCACTGGTCAAAAGAGAGGCATATATAGGCAAATCAAAAGAGGAGAGGGGCAATCAAGTAATCAATATATTCAGTTAAAGAGAGAAATAAAAAAGGGAATAAGAAAAGCAAAAAGAGATTATGAGGTTAAAGTTGCAAGAGAATCGAAGACTAACCCAAAAGGATTCTTTCAGGTATACAGAAGTAAGATCAGGGACAAGATAGGCCCACTCAAAAGTTACTCGGGTCAGCTCACAGACAGTGATAAGGAAATGTGTAGAATTTTTCACACATACTTCCTCTCAGTTTTTACTCAGGAAGATACCAGCGATATTCCAGAAATAATAAATTATGTAGAACAGGATGATAATAAACTATGCACGATTAGGGTCACAAGTGACATGGTCCTTAGGCAAATTGATAAATTAAAACCTAACAAATCCCCAGGAGCTTAGCAAACCTCTGGCTAATCTTTTCAATATATCACTACAGACTGGCATGGTGCCAGATAAGTGGAAAATGGCAAATGTGATACCTATTTTCAAAGTAGATGACAGGTCCTTAGCTTCGAACTATAGACCAATAAGCCTAACCTCCATTGTGGGAAAATTTATGGAATCAATAATTGCCGAGGCAGTTCGTAGCCACCTTGAAAAGCACAAATTAATCAAAGAATCTCAGCATGGTTTTAGAAAATGGCGTTCCTGCCTTACGAATTTATTAACTTTTTTTCACTAAGGTATTTGAGGAGGTAGATCATGGTAATGAATATGATATTGTGTATATGGACTTCAGTAAGGCTTTTGACAGGGTCCCACATCAGAGACTATTGAGGAAAATTAAGGCACATGGAATAGGAGGATTTTTTTCCTGGATAGAGGCATGGTTGACAAATAGGCAGCAGAGAGTTTGCATAAATGGGGAGAAATCAGAGTGGGAAAGCGTCACGAGCGGTGCTCCACAGGGGTCAGTGTTGGGCCCCCTGTTGTTCACAATCTACATAAACGACATAGATGAGGGCATAAATAGCAACATTAGCAAGTTTGCTGATGACACCAAAATAGGCCTTCGAATTCATTCTGACGAGGACATTAGAGCACTCCAGGAAGATTTGAATAGACTGATGCAGTGGTCGGAGAAGTGGCAGATGCAGTTTAATATAGACAAATGCAAAGTTCTAAATGTTGGACAGGAAAATAACCATACCACATATAAACTAAATAATGTCGATCTTAATATTACGGATTGCGAAAAAGATTTAGGAGTTCTGGTTAGCAGTAATCTGAAACCAAGACAACAGTGCACAAGTGTTCGCAATAAAGCTAATAGAATCCTTGGCTTCATATCAAGAAGCATAAATAATAGGAGTCCTCAGGTTGCTCTTCAACTCTATATATCCTTGGTTAGACCTCATTTAGATTATGCTGCACAGTTTTGGTCACCGTATTACAGAATGGATATAAATGTGTCTTAATTTCATCTTGTCGGTATTATATACCATTCTTGTACTACTACTACTACTACCACCACCTCTTCCTGCCTATATATAGCCGTCCTGCTCCACTTCTGGTTAGTGTGACTTTGTAAATGGTCCATGTCAGACCGAAACGTCGTCGTAAGCTTCTCTCTTTTATGTGCGGGTTATTTGTGTATCGTTCCAGTCACGGTATTGTGCCTGTTTTGTTATTTATGGATATAAATGCTCTGGAAAACATACAAAGGAAGATGACAAAGTTGATCCCATGTATCAGAAATCTTCCCTATGAGGATAGACTGAGGGCCCTGAATCTGCACTCTCTAGAAAGGCATTGAATTAGGGGGGATATGATTGAGGTGTATAAATGGAAGACAGGAATAAATAAAGGGGATGTAAATAACGTGCTGAAAATATCTAGCCTAGACAGGACTCGTAGCAATGGTTTTAAGTTGGAAAAATTCAGATTCAGGAAGGATACAGGAAAGCACTGGTTTGGTAATAGAGTTGTGGATGAGTGGAACAAACTCCCAAGTACAGTTATTGAGGGTAAAACGTTGAGTAGTTTTAAAAATAGGTTAGATAAATACATGAGTGGGTGTGGGTGGGTGTGAGTTGGACCTGACTAGTTTGTGCTACTAGGTCAGTTGTCGTGTTCCTTCCTTAAGTGAATGTGACCTGCCCTGACTAGGTTGGGGCATTGGCTTAAGCTGGTAGGAGACTTGGACCTGCCTCGCATGGGTCAGTAGGCCTGCTGCAGTGTTCCTTCTTTCTTATGTTCTTAGGTTCTTAAAAAATCGCCGATATATCACTACCTCTACTTTAAAACCGAGTAATTTACAATCAGAACCATACTACGAGCATCAGAGCACCACGTCAGTACATAATCCTCTCCCAAAACAGTCAACTCGCAAAAATCACTATAGATAACATTATTTCACTGGACCTCGACACATCCCTCTTGTAATTCATTAAATTAGCAATAATTCTGTTACTCTACAACCACCCATATACTCTCGCAACCTTCTCTGATCTTCATAGAATAGGTCTACCCTCATATAATGCAATATTGTAACTCGTACTAATGAAAATAATAACTTCATAAAATATAAACAACATCTTGGCAACAAAACATGGCTAAAATATATACCAAATGCTCTTAAACAAATATAACTGCTCATATCATATATATTTCATTAATAATAATGTAATTAATAAATCCTGCACTCTTATGTTATATTACAAAGTTAATATAATCGAAAACCACACAAGAGCCACAATGAAATATATTTTGCAAATGAATTCATGTATGCATAAATAACTCGTTACGATTGTAACCGGATATAAACATGTGAATTACCACTGTAACTTAGTTATCGAAGCTTTGGGGCCCAGTTCCTGGATCCATTATGTGCCTCTGTAATGTTGAGGTACAGTTCCTGGATCCATTATGTGCCTCTGTAATGTTGATGTACAGTTCCTGGATCCATTATGTGCCTCTGTAATGTTGAGATACAGTTCCTGGATCCATTATGTGCCTCTGTAATGTTGAGGTACAGTTCCTGGATCCATTATGTGCCTCTGTAATGTTGATGTACAGTTCCTGGATCCATTATGTGCCTCTGTAATGTTGATGTACAGTTCCTGGATCCATTATGTGCCTCTGTAATGTTGAGATACAGTTCCTGGATCCATTATGTGCCTCTGTAATGTTGAGGTACAGTTCCTGGATCCATTATGTGCCTCTGTAATGTTGAGGTACAGTTCCTGGATCCATTATGTGCCTCTGTAATGTTGAGGTACAGTTCCTGGATCCATTATGTGCCTCTGTAATGTTGAGGTACAGTTCCTGGATCCATTATGTGCCTCTGTAATGTTGAGGTACAGTTCCTGGATCCATTATGTGCCTCTGTAATGTTGAGGTACAGTTCCTGGATCCATTATGTACCTCTGTAATGTTGAGGTACAGTTCCTGGATCCATTATGTGCCTCTGTAATGTTGAGGTACAGTTCCTGGATCCATTATGTGCCTCTGTAATGTTGAGGTACAGTTCCTGGATCCATTATGTGCCTCTGTAATGTTGAGGTACAGTTCCTGGATCCATTATGTGCCTCTGTAATGTTGAGGTACAGTTCCTGGATCCATTATGTGCCTCTGTAATGTTGAGGTACAGTTCCTGGATCCATTATGTGCCTCTGTAATGTTGAGGTACAGTTCCTGGATCCATTATGTGCCTCTGTAATGTTGAGGTACAGTTCCTGGATCCATTATGTGCCTCTGTAATGTTGAGGTACAGTTCCTGGATCCATTATGTGCCTCTGTAATGTTGAGGTACAGTTCCTGGATCCATTATGTGCCTCTGTAATGTTGAGGTACAGTTCCTGGATCCATTATGTGCCTCTGTAATGTTGAGGTACAGTTCCTGGATCCATTATGTGCCTCTGTAATGTTGAGGTACAGTTCCTGGATCCATTATGTGCCTCTGTAATGTTGAGGTACAGTTCCTGGATCCATTATGTGCCTCTGTAATGTTGAGGTACAGTTCCTGGATCCATTATGTGCCTCTGTAATGTTGAGGTACAGTTCCTGGATCCATTATGTGCCTCTGTAATGTTGAGGTACAGTTCCTGGATCCATTATGTGCCTCTGTAATGTTGAGGTACAGTTCCTGGATCCATTATGTGCCTCTGTAATGTTGAGGTACAGTTCCTGGATCCATTATGTGCCTCTGTAATGTTGAGGTACAGTTCCTGGATCCATTATGTGCCTCTGTAATGTTGAGGTACAGTTCCTGGATCCATTATGTGCCTCTGTAATGTTGAGGTACAGTTCCTGGATCCATTATGTGCCTCTGTAATGTTGAGGTACAGTTCCTGGATCCATTATGTGCCTTTGTAATGTTGAGGTACAGTTCCTGGATCCATTATGTGCCTCTGTAATGTTGAGGTACAGTTCCTGGATCCATTATGTGCCTCTGTAATGTTGAGGTACAGTTCCTGGATCCATTATGTGCCTCTGTAATGTTGAGGTACAGTTCCTGGATCCATTATGTGCCTCTGTAATGTTGAGGTACAGTTCCTGGATCCATTATGTGCCTCTGTAATGTTGATGTACAGTTCCTGGATCCATTATGTGCCTCTGTAATATTGAGGTACAGTTCCTGGATCCATTATATGCCTCTGTAATGTTGAGGTACAGTTCCTGGACCCTTTATGTGCTTCTGTAATGTTGAGGTACAGTTCCCGGACCCATTATGTGCTTCTGTAATGTACAGTTCCTGGACCCGTTATGTGCTTCTGTAATGTTGAGGTACAGTTCCTGGACCCATTAGGTGCTTCTGTAATGTTGAGGTACAGTCCCTGGACCCGCTATGTGTTTCTGTATTGTTGAGGTACACTCCCTGGACCCATTATGTGCTTCTGTAATTTTGAAGTACAATTCCTGTACCTGTTATATGCCTCTGTAATGTTGGGGTACAGTCCCTGAACCCATTATGTGTTTCTGTAATGTTGAGGTACAGTCCCTGGACCCACGGTGTCAGGTGGCCTGGTGCCAAAGCTCTCGCTTCAAACGCTGAGGGCCCGGGTTCGATTCCCGGCAAGGGTGAAAACATTGGGAGTTTTTCCTTACACCGGTTGTCCATGTTCACCCATCAGTATAAATGGGTACCTGGGTGTTAGTCGACTGGTGTGGGTCGAATCCCGGGACAAAATTGACCTAATTTAACTGAAATGCTCTGCATAATAAGCGGCTTTCTATATAGTATGTCACTGATGTCAGCTAGGACTGTATATGTGCCTCTAATGCTGAGTTACAGCCCCTGGACCCATTATATGCTTCTAATAAATAACAAAAAGGCACAATACCGTGACTGGAACGATACACAAATAACCCGCACATAAAAGAGAGAAGCTTACGACGACGTTTCGGTCCAAGTCGGACCGAAACGTCGTCGTAAGCTTCTCTCTTTTATGTGCGGGTTATTTGTGTATATGCCTCTAATATTTTAGCCACAACCCATACGAAAGTTATGGGGTACATAAAACTATGAAAATAATTAATAATTATAATAATTGCAAGATTAATTAAACTAGCAGTAACGTCACTATAGGAGCTGTGACTCGACCACTGGAGCCTAATATAGGCAAGTACACGATTAATTTATAATATACACAGCAAAGCTAGGTTAAATCTACGTCACATAATACCGCTGTAGTTGTGGTAGCCTGCAACGAGTAATGTATACTCCCACGGAACCTTCCTGAGGCGTAATACCCAGAAGAATATTATCGTATGGTAAAAAGGTGCGAGGTGTTTCCTGGATGTGATGTAGTGAGGCAGTAGTCTAGAACTACCATGGTGTGTAGTTAGTGAGGCAGTAGTCTAGAATTACCATGGTATGTAGTTAGTAAGGCAGTACGCTAGAACTATCATGGTATGTAGTGAGGCAGTGCCTAGAACTACAGCGCCTTTCTATATAGCAGTAAGTCATTGATGTTAGCTAGGTCTGTATACCTTGTACATGTACTTGTAGAAATAATAATAATTTTTATGGTATGTATTGGGTGACGCTTTAACCGACGCTAACACATCAGTCACCCAACCACTCATTTCCACTCCAGTTCCTACAGTCTTTCAGCCTTTCTTCTAGTCGCTACAGTCTACTCGCCTTTCTTCCAGTTCTCTTGGGAAGGACCTATCCTGCAGTCTACTCATCTCTCCTCACTACAGACAGAATAACAAGAGAAACATGGCTAGTTTATATTACCCCTCTTTAACTATCTTGTACAACAATATAGCACACACCTCTGGTGTTCCAGTGTAACTATCACGTACAATAGTGAAACACTAAACTGGCTGGTTCCACAATGTAGTTATCTCAGAGAGCTGTGTAGCAGGACACTGATGTTGTATCGTGTGTTCTAAACTGCTGTCCTTGTCCCTCCCACAACAGTCAGCTGATAGTAATACTGATGTACTGACACACTCCCCATCACAACAGTCAGGTCACGGCCGCACCAATAGCGGTACTGATGTACTCTCACTGCGCCAGGATCTTGCTGACAGTCCCTCTTGAATAGTTGAACTCTAGTCGCTGCAGGATCCTATAAAAGTCATCCCCTTATCGCATAAACCCAGCCCCTCTACATAAACAGAGATGTGTAGAGGGTGTCTGTGGGTTATGACTGATTTTAGATTAATGATTCTTGTCAAGTCAGTTATGGAATTTAGCCCAGAAGCCTGCCATCTCATTTCTACCTGAATTCGTCCTCTAGTTTACACATAGTTATGTTGAGCCGGTTGCAAATAATGATCTCTGGCGATAGGAGGGAAGCAGCAAGATCCAGAGGTATAAGGAATGCGCATTCAATGATAATACTTGGGTAGTAGGTACTTAGTGGAGTGTGGGAGCGGCTGTACATCTGTGGACACCTGAGATACTCGAGTCAGGTGCAACTACCTGGTACAGTAGCGAGATAGTGTTGTAATGTGTTATCAAATGATAGAGCACTTCACTGCATAACGGCTGTCACAGAATCAGTCGTCCTAACACTAGGCTATTAATAAACAGACACTTAGCAGAGTTTCGTGCACCCAACCGTTCACCCACTATAGTTACGTGAGACTGGTTGGGTAGGCAGTAACTGAACACTTGCCAAGCCAGGGTACTCATGGCTGGCTGGAACAAGAGCCCACTGCTTACAATTGTGTAGGCTGTGAGAGGTAATGTAGACGCTATGCTAGATTAATCAATGTCTAACTCCAACTTAGCTTAAATACGTATAAGTAGTAGTGTATAATACATTAAGCTATGGAGGTTTCACTGCTAGATTAAATCTTACATATTAAGAGTGTATGTAGAATGTGGCAACCCCAAGTAGGCATACATGGGTCTGCTCGTCCCCCCCCCCAAACTTGGGGAGGTTTTAAAGGTCTGGGAAATCAAGCCTGTGTGATTTTCCACAAGAGAACTGCATCCCTGTATACCATTAGCCCAGTTCCCTCTACCTCAGTGATCCAGGAAACTTATTTACGTATGCTATAAGCTCAGCATCCTCTACGTCAATACACACAAAAGGAATAGTACAGAGTGCTGCATACGTTTAAAGTGCAGTTAAATTCAGCATTGAAGATTTGAAGTCAGTCGGAAGAAGCATTCACTGAGATCCATCAGCTCTGTCAGTTTCACACTAACCAGAAGATGCATTCTTTAGTTACCGCTCATTTATCACTAAGTTTGAAGCCGATCGGATGAGGCATTCCCAAATTACCTTATCAAAATCAATAATCACAGTTTTTTAATAAAATTGACAAATTGCGCCTACACAGCCTATGAGTAATCTAAAACATTATAATGCGGCAGAATCTGCGGTTTGAAGGCGATCATAAGAACCATTCTTCAGTTTTTCACCTATTCTCTATGGACCTGCTCCGCCTGGGTCAGTAGACCTGCTGCAGTGTTCCTTCTTTCTTATGTTCTATATATTATTCCTCCTCCCCTGTTATTCCTGCCTGCCCTTCTCGTAGCACTGCTCGTACGTAGGTATCCCTCAAGGTACCCTTCACAGGAGATATCCTTCAAGGTATCCATCACAGTAGGTATCCCTCAAGGTATATCTCAGTAAGTAAGTAAGTAAGTTTATTCAGGTATACACAAATACAGTTACATAGAATTATCATACATAGCAGCATATGTGTAGACAACCTGGGATAACCCAAAAAAGTCAGACAGTGACTTATTTCCATTGGGGTCCTTTATTTCCATTGGGGTCCTTTATTTCCATTGGGGTCCTTTATTTCCATTGGGGTCCTTTATTTCCATTGGAGGTTAGCCCTCAAAGTACACCTCACACATCTATCACGATATCTCTCGAGATATTCTTCACAGGTATACCTCTCGGGGGAGGTATCCCTCACAGGAAAGTAGTCAGGTATTTCTCAACAGACAGACTGCAACCTCAGAATATAAATTAAACTATATAAAAAAGTGCGACCAGCATAAGAGAGATATTCTAGTGAAATTCATTAGGGATTTGCCGGTACTTCCGGCTCGGGTCTTCTCCAGATGGCCACCCGGCGTCTAGTAAAATGTTTTATATGTATGTGGAAGCGCTAAACCCGCAGCAATCATACTGCGCCTGGAGAATGGGAGATAGTCAGGTTTGAACCAAGGGACGGGTAACTCCCGGTTCTCGGATTATCAGCATTAAAACTCCCTCCTGGGGGAGGTTGTCACCCCATGCCCCTCCTGGGGGAGGTTGTCACCTCATACCCCTCCTGGGGGAGGTTGTCACCCCATACCCCTCCTGGGGGAGGTTGTCACCCCATACACATCCTGGAAGTTGTGCAAGAAAGGTATAAAATACCGACAATATGAAAGTTAAGACACATGTGCAACATCTGGATATCTTTATTGTAGACGTTTCGCCATCCAGTGGCTTTATCAATACAGATTCTAGGACATAATAGGAAGACAGTAGAACTATATACAAAAGATGAGGTAATCAGTCCCTCGGCCTTGGAGTTAGTGTTCACAGCATCGTGGTGGAGGAGAATCTGGAGCAAAGGCAAGAAGACTGGCGGTTATATAGGCCTTTGCTCCAGATTCTCCTCCACCACGATGCTGTGAACACTAACTCCAAGGCTGAGGGACTGATTACCTCATCTTTTGTATATAGTTCTACTGTCTTCCTATTATGTCCTAGAATCTGTATTGATAAAGCCACTGGATGGCGAAACGTCTACAATAAAGATATCCAGATGTTGCACATGTGTCTTAACTTTCACATCCTGGAAGGTGGTTGTCACCCCATACACATCCTGGGGGGTTGGTTGTTACCCCATACACATCCTGGGGGGTTGGTTGTTACCCCCATACACATCCTGGGGGGTTGGTTATTACCCATACACATCCTCGAGGGAAGTTGTCACCCCATACACATCCTGGAGGTTCAGCTCCACGGAGCTAAACACTTCTCCAGGCTGAGAGACTGACCACCTCAAATACTCTTTCTCCAAGGATGAGGGACAGATTCCATCATCTTCATTTCATTACTACACCCGCTGCCTCTATATTAGAGTGAGGAAATCTACTGTGTAGGCGAAACGCATATGACAACATCATATGCTGTTCCTCTTTATGTGCGTGTTATTTGAGTACTGTTGTCTACCTACTAGCCAGGGTAAGCCAGTGGTCTCACTACTTGGGCTCTTCTCAATTTAACATAATTTTTTAAATTAAATTGATATTTTTCCCTATCCTTTTTTTCATGAAGGAACTCTTCGATGTCGACACCATTCTTGGGTTCCATTCCTCACACTGAGAAAGAAAACACTAATATCGTCATTGTGGAAGATTAGACGAGACCAGCTCCTGGGTGTGGGAGTAGAAGATCAGATGAGACCAGCTCCTGGGTGTGGGAGTGGAAGATCAGATGAGACCAGCTCCTGAGTGTGGGAGTGGAAGATCAGATGAGACCAGCTCCTGAGTGTGGGAGTGGAAGATCAGATGAGACCAGCTCCTGAGTGTGGGAGTGGAAAATCAGATGAGACCAGCTCCTGAGTGTGGGAGTGGAAGATCAGATGAGATCAGCTCCTGAGTGTGGGAGTGGAAGATCAGATGAGACCAGCTCCTGAGTGTGGGAGTGGAAGATCAGATGAGACCAGCTCCTGAGTGTGGGAGTGGAAGATCAGATGAGACCAGCTCCTGAGTGTGGGAGTGGAAGATCAGATGAGACTAGCTCCTGAGTGTGGGAGTGGAAGATCAGATGAGACCAGCTCCTGAGTGTGGGAGTGGAAGATCAGACGAGACCAGCTCCTGAGTGTGGGAGTGGAAGATCAGACGAGACCAGCTCCTGAGTGTGGGAGTGGAAGATCAGACGAGACCAGCTCCTGAGTGTGGGAGTGGAAGATCAGATGAGACCAGCTCCTGAGTGTGGGAGTGGAAGATCAGACGAGACCAGCTCCTGAGTGTGGGAGTGGAAGATCAGACGAGACCAGCTCCTGAGTGTGGGAGTGGAAGATCAGATGAGACCAGCTCCTGAGTGTGGGAGTGGAAGATCAGACGAGACCAGCTCCTGAGTGTGGGAGTGGAAGATCAGACGAGACCAGCTCCTGAGTGTGGGAGTGGAAGATCAGACGAGACCAGCTCCTGAGTGTGGGAGTGGAAGATCAGACGAGACCAGATCCTGGGTGTGGAGCGACCTTGGCCACACTTCTCAGCACTGGTCAGACTTGCATGTCAAGCAGAAGCACTGACCAAAATTTTTACGATCAACGTTGCCTTCACGTCTCGCAGGTCAGGTGTCTAGTAATTCACTGATCAGTGTCTGGTTCGTGTGCTAATGTGACGGTATGCAGTTTAGGGCATTTTTTTTGGTTAAAACGTTTCGCTCATCTTCCCCTCTGTGTTTCTCCCACCATCTTCGTGGAATCCTTCTCCAGAAATTTTAAGACAGGCCTACTGACCCATGAAAAATGGTATGCTGATACTGACACGATATGGATAAAAGACATGTCCTGACCAAGTGTCTTTTTTCTACACTACTGGCCCGTAGCAGGCAGGTCATTCTCAAGCCCACTAAAAGAAATATTCACCCAACCCATTTTCAATGCTATACAAGGAATAAGCTTTGATAACCCTATGAACTCATGTGCAAGTCCCACTCAAATCTAACCATTCTCACTCATGTATTTATTTAACCTATATTTGAAGCTACCCAAGGTTTCAGCTTCAATAACCTTACTAGGCAGACTATTCCACTCTTCGACTACTCTGTTTCCAAACCAGGGCTTTCCTATATATTTTCTAAATCTAAACTCATCCAATCTGAATTCATGATTTCGAGTTCTTTCTCGAAGGGATAGATTCAGGACCTTACTTATACTTCGTTGTACATGATTTGTATATAATGTAGATAAGGGGAAGAATTAGGCACATATGCAACATCTTCAAGATTCTTGT